TTAATATTACTTTCCTGGTCTGATTGAACTTTGACCTTCAACCATATATATATATATATATATATATATATATATATATATATATATATTACTGTACTGTACTGATGCGGCATTCACCCTGGGTGGATTGAGCCGGCTTCTTCCTGTTATGAGAAGAAGATTCTTGGGATAAATTACAGAAGTAGGGCACCCAGGCCTACTCGGATAACGTTCTTGCTTGCCGCGGATTCCCACAGACGCAGAGACAGGAATGACCAGAAGCCGCCGGTTACCGATGCAGACGCTCCTTGGATTTTCACCAGAGCCCTTGTTAGCCGGCGTGTGTGTGTCAGACCTGTCCGCCTTGGGTGGCCCTACCAGGAACGAATTTCCGGGCGGCATAGCTCTTACACTACCGTTTACACCCCCCATATATATATATATATATATATATATATAAGAGAAAAGATGGAGTAAGAATCCAATATTCATAGCATTTATTTTTAAAAAAAATGCTCAATAGAAAGTAGAGCAATATATTATTATTATTATATTTTTTATTATAAAAGATTATAATAAAAACATTTTGAAATAGCTACACAAAGCATTCATGTTTCAATTGTATTTCTTCAGGCGCCGGTAAGTAACTGGTGATTACTATATATATATATATATATATATATATATATATAGATAGATAGATAGATAGATAGATAGATAGATAAAGTGAACAAATATCTACTAAGTGTGAGTCATCAGTCTGTTGAGTCAGCTGGTCACCAACCATATATTTTTTAAATTTGTAAATATTAGTGAAGTCGATCTTGTTTGGTGAATTTTTCACACCAGATCGCCATTTTTAGCGTTATGAGTAATTGCGTGTCTGCACATTTTCTCAAATGTAATGACAAGACTGCACCAGAAATATCAGGTGCTGTAGTACAGGGGAGAGTAGTAAAGATATGTGAAACGTATGAACATGCGGATTAACATCGCACTTTGGCTTATCGTTTGTTTTAACAAGAGAAAAATATAAAACCATATTAATCTTTCTTGATCGCCATCGCCAGCGTCATCATCAGTGCCACGACTGGGTGTGGCTGGAGGATCGTTGGGCAGGTATTGAGCTACGCAATGACTTAGTCTTTGGGAATGATTTTCCTGTCCATTCAATTACGCTGCCTTTTTATGTATTTTTTTTTTTTTTACATCTGTCAGCCGCAGACATTGAATTATGTCACGAGGCTGCCTCCATAGCTCGGCTATACTTTTTCTGTCTATATACTTGACGCATATTTATATGCGTTCTTGAATCTAAAGACCAATAACATTTCTGCTCTTGAATACAAATACTTGTTACAAAATAAAATTCTTATATCTGCCTTGCTAAAGTCCCTCAGAAAAATGAAACGCGTCGGCGAAGGTAAGTTTTTCTTTAGTCTTTATTCACACATACGCGCGCGCGCACACACACACACACACATATCTATCTATCTATCTATATATATATATATATATATATATATATATATATACGGACAAGATGAAACCAAAGTCTCGTATTTTAATTGACCTCCTGAAAGTTATTTTTACTTTTATTTATATTTTTTCGCATGTGTATTCAGCGATTTTTAATACTACTGTTTCCTGGTCTTATTGAACTTTGACCATTAACCTTAAATATATATATATATATATATATATATATATATATATATATATATATATATATATATATATATAAAAAGAGAATGAATAGATGGAGTAAGAATCCAGTATTCATTGCATTTACTTTTGAAAAAAATGCTCAATAGAAAGTAGAGCAATATATTATTATTATTATATTTTTCTTAAATCTAAAAACCAATAACATTTCTGCTCTTGAATACAAATACTTGTTACAAAATAAAATCCTTACATCTGCCTTGCTAAAGTCCCTCACAGAAATGAAACGCGTCAGCTAAGGTTAAGTTTTCCTTTAGTCTTTATTCACTCACACACAAACACACACACATATATATATATATTAATAAATATATATATATATATATAGGTAATAATTCGTTGATATATAATCCAAGTGAAACGTAATAATATAAAACATTAAAACTGATCCACAAAAAGAGCTCTATGTATTTATAGCAGAGCATATTAATTGCATAAAATAGAAAAGCAAATTTACCTCATCAGAATAGTTACATCGACCAACAAGTCACATGTTCGCATTGTCAACTCAGAAGTGTGAAGATATTTTATGCTTTCACACTTAAACCTATAAAAATAGCATACTATAAAACTGTATTTTATCATTTATATATATATATATATATATATATATATTATAAATTAATTGATTTAAAATGTGTTTTTTCTCGCTACACAGTTCTAACCATGTTTCAAAAATGGAAGCCGAAAGCTCTGAATTTAATTTTGTAATTAAATTAAAGACATTAGCCCCATTTCATCCTCACGCGAATAAGAACACCGGATTATATATCTTACCGTCCTTTTTTTTTTATATACATACATACATATATATATATATATATATATATATATATATATATATATATATATATATAATCTTAAGACATATTTATGTTTATACATTCTTTTTATAGATACAAATATTTAAGTAAATTCTCTGTTTTATTATAAACAGTATTAAACAACATTTACCGGCCTGAATGTCCGAGAAATTTTCATATATAATATTCGTCCTCCGAAAAAATTTCTCGGATATTCAGGCCTTTTAAATGTTGTTTAATACTGTTTATTATAAACAGAGCATTTGTCCATTTCATATATATATATATATATATATATATATATATATATATATATATATATATATATATATATATGCTTCTGAAAAAATTTATTTCGGTTGAGCTCTCTGGGGAGGAAGTGAGGGTTTGTAAACAGTGACTATTACGGCTAATAATGCAAGACTCTTCGGTAAATCGAATCGAGTTCTCTTAGTCACTGGGTGTTTATCTAAAAATAAATACGCTTAAACTCACCTACATCCCTACTGTGCGGCAACGGCTTAGTGGTAGAATCCCGACTGACGCTAATTCAGTCGGGTTTCAATCCTAGCGAGAGGCAACCGGACGTCTAGCCACACTGATGAGCTGTGATACAGCGAAACAGTCTGTCTGTGGATGACAATATATATATATATATATATATATATATATATATATATACACGATGGTTGAAATCCCCGTCCCAGCCCACCTTTTCGAAAATCAGTATTGCAAAGTCCAAACATTAGAATTTTTGTTAATTCACCTCAAGAAAATAATGTCACTAAGTCGCCATCCACATTTTTGAAGGCCCGAATACAGAGACCTGGTGCACTACGTGCCACAAGGTCTCCGCAGGTTTTAAATTCAGAGTTGTCCTTCTCCTAAACCAGTTGCCATCCAAGGCTATAGAACTCAGTCTATCCTGCTATTTACCCATAGCTGGAGGGAGAAGCGATGGGTTCATACCTTTCCCAAGGATATTAGCACGTGAGTGAGTGTAATGGATTCAACTGGAATTCGAACTCGGCTATCCATTTTTTTTCTTTTTATGTGTCGTGTCATTTCAGGATGTAAGCGATCATGGCTCTCCATTTAAATTAATATCAAAGCGTTAAAAAAAAAAGCATTTTTTGTTACGCGTTTCATCTTTTAGGACTTCGTCGGAGTAAATTGATGTTTACGTTGATTTAAAAACCCATACTCACGAAGGGGCGGGAACACTAAAAGTTTAAACATTTAAATTGAAATGCCTTTTTTACAGATCGCGACATCTATCAGAGAGATGAAATTGTCTACGAGTTATCTGCCCTTGGCTTAAGTAATTTGTTAAATCGCGACATCCGTCAGAAAGATTAAAGTTAATTTTTTTATTTTAGCATTTTTCCAAAATTTTAACGCATCAGCAGATAGCTATTAATGTCAACAACTGAACACAAATAGTTATTAATCAAAAAAAAAATTAATTAATGTATAATATTATCCCTAATGTACAATAATGTCGTTTTTGATAAAAGTTAAAAAGTAATTATAAATATGTAAAAATGAGTACATTGTGAAAAATTCCTTTTTCTACAATATAGCTGTTTTTGCTATGTTATTTTTGCGACGTACAGTTAATAATTACGAATAACTCAAGACTCTAATGTTAAAATAAAACAGTATTTAATTACAACCGCAAATAAATACTTAACAAAAACAAAGACGTAAAAGTCAACCAAAGATAATTAACCATTTCAGTGAATACCTTCGCGGCTCGGTTTAACGTCCGGTAAATTCTTAATCAAAACCCAAATCATCGATGGACAATAATTCACACTAATTCGACTGGATAGTTTCACTCAATAATCACTGCAGTCAGTAGCCTGACAACGCTATTTGTATAACTGGCGGAAAATATATATTTATAAGTCCAGAGCGTCACGTTCGAACCTTGATATCGGTAGTTATTTATTTTCTTCCTATATGATAGATATAATTCTTATTACCTAAACAATAATAATACTGAATATTTTTTTAAATGTTAAAGTATATTTAATCACATCTCACTAATAGCTGTCGTGATCTGTTAATGTGTATATATTCTGGCCAATTTTAATTAGTTTCTTTTTGTTTACGATTGTATCGATTTTTATATTAAGTATCCCACATTGTGATCATAGAAGATCTTACAAGAAGGGTGAAATAGTGTAAGAACCTAGACGCAAATTTACTTTAGATGATCTGGGTGATTAAAGCACCTTTCTATAAAATGCATTGTTTTTTTTTAATTTAAATATCGTTTTTTTTAAAATCAAAATTACGGTGCGTGACTTTAGCATTGCTGGTGTTATTTTTTAAAAGACCACTTTTGTGTTTATATAAACTTTTATGCGTGTTTGTAGGAGGTATTATATCCGAACCAAAAGTGGAACAAAAAAAAATTATAAACGACGCGTTTCGACGGGAGCGTCTGCTCTCTCTGACTGCTTCAAGTTAGAATAAAAGAAAGTTAAAACTACCCACTCCGGCCGGGGAGGTGGGGGCCCGCTGATGTATTCATGGTACGCCCTAGCAGCCCCGAACATCTAAGGCCATCACATACCTGCTGTCTCTCTGCCACGCGTGCCTTTCTGCAACATAACCCTCTAAGAAGTGCGTGAGAAAACCGACCCGGGTGCTGCGATGAACGCCGAGCCCGCCGTTGAATAAACACACACATCGGCGCACTAGTTAGCAGGCCGGAGTCTCGTTCGTTATCGGAATCAACCAGACGGATCGCTCCACCAACTAAGAACGGCCATGCACCACCACCCACCGAATCGAGAAAGAGCTATCGATCTGTCAATCCTACCGGTGTCCGGACCGGGTGAGTTTTTTCCCGTGTTGAGTCAAATTAAGCCGCAGGCTCCACTCCTGGTGGTGCCCGTCCGTCAATTCCTTTAAGTTTCAGCTTTGCAACCATACTCCCCCCGGAACCGAACTCTGGTTTCCCGCAGGCTACCCGCCGGGTCATGGAAGCGAACGCCAGCGAATCGCCGGTCGGCATCGTTTACGGTCGGAACTACGACGGTATCTGATCGTCTTCGAACCTCCGACTTTCGCTCTTGATCGAGGAAAACATGCTTGTCAAAAGGCATCGATACGGTTCGCCATGAAACGATGTAAGAATTTCACTTCAAGCGTCGCGCTACTAATGGCGCCGACCGCTCCCTTCGATCATTGCCTCATTAAGGTTTTTATTATGTGATTCTTGGATTGTTAGGTGGCAAAATAATGATGCAAACAAGATGTTTTATGTTTAAATTTCCGTTATTTTTTCTTACAGTATTTCATAAGAAATTTCGATTTTGGTACTGTGGTATTGCTCTCAATTTCAAAACTAGTGTTTGACAAGATAAATAACGCAAAATAGTTTTATTTTCAATATTTACATAGAGAGGTCGAGTTTGGTACCGTGGTATTAACCTCAATTTGAAAGTTGGTGTTTGACAAGATAAATAAGACAGAATATTTTTATATACAATACTTATACAGGAAGATCGATTTTGGAACCGTTGTATTGGACTCTTTATCAAAGTTTGTGTTTGACAACTTTAATAACGTGAAATATGATTATTTTCAATATTTATATAGGCAGGGCGATTTTGGAGTTATGGTATTGAACTCAATTTGAAAGTTTGTGTGTGACAACTTAAATAGTTGAGGAGACACGGTGGAGGAATGGATAGCGGCTTGGATTGAGGAATCGGAGAGCCGAGTTCGAATTCCAGTTGAATCCATTACATTCACTTACGTGCTAATACCCTTGGGAAAGGTGTGAATCCTCTTTCTTTTCCCTCCAGCTATGGGTAAATAGCAAGACATACTGGGTTCTATAGCCTTGGATGGCAACTGGTCTAGGAGAAGGAAAACTCTGAATTCAAAACCTGCTCTTAGAGGAGGGTGAATGGAGTCTCTCTGAGCCTTGGTTGGCAATCCATTTAGTGATGGTGTCACGATAAAACACCCTTGATAGCCCTAGCGAAGCATCAAGAAATCAGCTATTTGACAAGATTATGAACTGCACCAATCAAAGTATTAGCTATGACAGATAAGGAATACTGGGAAAGTGTAGTGAGTTCAATCTCGGCTGAGGCCGCAAAAAAAAAAAAGTGCAAAATATTTTTTTTTTCAATACTTACATATACAGGTCGATTTTGCTAGCGTGACATTGAACTCAATTTGAACATTGGTGTTTATCAAGTTAAACAGTAACGAAAAATAGTTTTATTTACACTATTTACATCGTCATGTCTATTTTGGAACCTTGGTATTGCACGCAATTTCAAAGTTTGTGTGTAACAAGTTAAATAGCGCAAAATAATATTATTTTCAACATTTAAATATGCAGGTCGATTTTGGTACTGTGTGATATTGGTATTGCACTCAATTTGAAAATTGGTGTTTGACAAGATAAATAACGCAAAATATTTTTAGTTTCAATATTTACATAGACTTGTCGATTTTGGTACCCTGGTATTGCTCTCAATTTGAAAATTGGTGTTTGATAAATAATAACAATTTGTTTTGCTTTGAATCGTTCCTGGTTTTTTGAAAACGAGTTTAAGAATTATGTTTACGTTCAAAATTGGAGTTTGAATTTTCATTCTGTTGATCAGTAAAATCCTTATAAAATTTATAATTGAAATATATACAGTTAGTTGGTTTGAAATTAAAAGGGATAATAAATTCCATGACCAACAACTGTATATCTTTTACCTGACCCAGAGAAGAAAGCAACAGTCCATCAAAATACAAAATGTTAAATTAAAAAAATATACAGCAAAATGCTTTCGGTTTACTTCCAGAAAATATTAGTTTCTTAATGTTGAAGTCAGATGTATTGGAGGTGAGCGATGTGGCTATAAATAAAAATGTCCATAAGTCAAATAAACTTTTATTCATAATTAGTTAAGTCAATTTACAAGACTAATTTGAAAATTTTATTCTGAATTCATAGCAAAAAATATCACCATAGGTAAATTTTCCAATAAAATTAATTGTTTGTCTCAATAGTAGCGAGCCAGCAAAAAAAAAAAAAAGATCTAAAAAATGAATTTCATCAACTCTGAAGCGACACACTGGCCAAATTTGTTTAATCTCTCATAAAATGGAATTTGCCAATTTGCGTTTGCAGAAGGTTTTTCAAATAATGAACTGCAAGAGGTTCTAATAAATGGAACAATTTTGGAGTTTACCTGCATATTCACAGGGTGAAGTTTTATAAATTGTATATAGACAAGAAGCAAGGCACTCGCACTTTAATACTACTGTAATGACAAAATCACTCAGTTGTAGTCTTTAAGAAAGCTTTATTCACTAGGAAATACAAGGTCCGCGTATAGTGTCCTTTTATAGTCTCAGTAAACAGAATAGCTCATTCAAAGAGGAAAGTAACAAAACAAAGGGATACCACTCTTGATTATTCATAACAACTTTATCATTGTACTATCAAATAAGCCCTTCATTTTCTTCAAAAGGAAATTCTATTAAACATTTTAGATATATTATGAGGAAATATGTTCATAAATATGTTATAAAATGCAATAGTTTTAGAGTGATTATCAATAAACATGTAAATTTAAAGCATTTTTCTTATAATGTCTGCCTAGTAGTATTATGGTGTTATAGACACTTTCATCTAGTCTATTTAAATTAATTATGATCTAACAAATGGTATATCATTTTATTCATCGGTTAGCTTTTTTTTGTAACCTTTCACAATTTTTACAGTTTCTCTTTATTGAATACAGTAAAAAATTGTATATTTTGCTTGTGGTTGTTCACAATTAATGTACATTGCTGGTGAAAAGGAAGTTATCCGGGATTGGACTATAAACTGCCAAAACGAGTCGCAGTGTGTAGTGGGGAAGATATAAAAAAAATTGTAGCTAACGGAAGGTACACAAGTCGATACCTGATCAGTATCGGTTGGGTCAACGTGGATAGGGGGTAAAGATCCGAAACCCCTAAGGAACCTCGACTAGAAACATCACTGATGATGTGTACTAAAGCATCCAGTATTTTATGAAAGCATCCTGGTTTGAATATATTTTCCATTCGGTGTATCTAATACAAAAAAGGAATATCAATCTTATTTGGATTTATTCTTGAAATAGTAAAATATAAGCAACCTGCGAAAATTAGGTTTTCGCTACATTTTTTTCAGACGAGCTTTACAAGCAAATGCTCGAAAATTGGTAAAAAAAGCTATGAATTTAATTGTTGATGGCAGTACTTATCACATCAAACCTCAGCTTCACACATGCAATGTTGATTTTCTTAAGAAAATAAAAAAATAAACCAGTCTTATTTTTCACGCTTTTGTTGTAATTATCACACCGTTTCGGCCCTTGTTCCCGCCTTCATCACGTGTATGTTGATCGGAGTAGACTACAGTGAATATCGAACTGAACCTAATTAATATACGTGGGTGTAGACTGTTCTCGTTCAACAGCCAATGTCTCGGGAAAAGCTTGTTTAATTCCTATTTTTAGTAATGCCTAGTTATTGCCCGCTCAGTTTCCACTGCGTCTAACTATACACAGTTCGGCCCAAGGATTGACTTCATTAAATTCATGAACCAAATCTAGGAAGTCTTAAGAAAAATGTATATAAAAACGACGCATATTATTATCAGACTTGTCCTATAGGTCTTGCCTATTTCGACAAAAAGTTGTTGACATGAAAGAAATCTCGGCCGCCTCGTTGAACGATTCCCGCCTTTTTTGGGACATAACGTATGCCCACGTTTTTAATTTAATATTCTTTATTTGTTTTTGTTTTTTTATTGTTCATCTGCGATATCTCTGTTCGTTTCCTTTATTATATTTTAAAATGTTTGTACTAATCGTGATAACCCTGTTAATTTTCGATCAAACCGATCGGATCATTTGTCTGATATCTTTCGTTTATTCTTATTTATTTATTTATTTATTTATTTATTTTTTTGACTAATTGTTGGATAAGTCACACGTGTCCTGGTAGATTTGATAGTTCTTTTTTCTTATCTCTTAGTAAAGCTTGTTTAGTTCTTTGAGTTAGTTGAAATTGACGTGTTCAGTCAAAAACAAATAAAACGTGTAGTAATATTATATTGCACAGCCCCCGCCTCTGAACAGACAAATTTTAATGTGAAGATCATCCATTCGAATATTAACTGAGGTAAAACCTAAATAATTTATTACTTTTATTATTGGGGTAGATAGGCTCTCCAATCGCCCGGTCCATACTTTTCCCTCTTCTCTTGATCAAGGCTAGAGACTCATCCCTTGTTTCTTGCTTAAGAAGGGATTCCCTATTCCTTTTGTTTTTCTCTGACCTTAATAGTGGTGTTGTCTTTATTTTATTCTGATGTGCATTGTTGACGGCAACGTCTCTTCAAACTGAGGGGGCCGGATTGACAGTTTTCTGGTTGCTGTTTCCGACTGGTAGTTAGAAGCCCGAACCCTTGCGTAGCTTCTTGAGAGGCTGCTTTGATCAACAGTTAAATAATATTGGTGTTCTTACAGTGTCATGTCGTGCATAGATGGGTGTCCCTACAAACCCGAGGCCACACGATGTTGCAGTCTGCGCCAGTTTCATTCTGCTCATGTCACATTTGCTGACCGACAGCTAATACTAACAAAATACATCATGTCTACATAGTGATTTTCTAAGCCCGGCTTATATGTGGCACAAGGCCGAGAGTATGGGGCATCCAGTGAGGATCTAACTCCCTTTTCAGTAGTAACTGATATAGCGAGACAAGCTTGCTAACCATTACACCACGCCGAGGTGCCCAAATCATGTCTATATACAAGCAAAGTTATAAACTTAAACCAGCTCACCAAAAATCATCTAAACCCCTTAACCTGTTCTTCTCCAACATTTATGGTATTCGTACCAAATTCTACTGTGTGGTATCGTTCCTCTTGGAAATGTCTTCGGAAATCCTAGCTCTCTGTGAAACTAAACTAAGCTCAGGAATCCCTCCCTCGGATTTATCGATTCCTGGCTACCATCCTCTGCTGAGAAAGGACTCTAAAGTCTACATGCATGGCCTAGTAGTTTATGTTCGCGTGTTACAATTTTTGGATACATTATGTACTAGTGCGCTAGCCCTAATGACTTGACTCACTTTATAGTCCACCAATAGAAGGGTAACCAATCAGAAGACGTAGAATATTCAAAACGTCGTGTATAAAGGCGGCCATTTTGTTTACTCTA